GATGAATTGCCGTTTAAATCAGCGCATCGCTCATGTTTACTTTTGCGTACACAACAGCGCAGCACACAATACGTTGCACATACAAATAGCGCGTTTCATGCATATTTGTTGTTGTGGCGTTACCTACCGCTCGTTTTGAGCTATTACCCTTAATGCTATTAGCGCCGATTTGCAGTAGCATTAAGAAAATTGTTTTAGCCGATTCTTGCTTTTTGTTTTTGTTGGCGCATACACTTGCAACTGCCAATTGCCACGCACTTTTTAACATTCGCGCTTTAGTTACGCATTTATTTGCCGTTGCAAGGTACGTATGTACTGTTTATGTAAATGCGCGCTGTTAAGTGAAATTGTCTCTGTTGCACCTCACTTCTTGCTCACTTGCCATTCATCGACATCATTCAATAGCTCAATGAATTTTCTTTTTCCCCAGCACATTGACTGAAGTGACGCTTTGTGGAGGATTTAGTTAAAATATTTTATATTTGGTATGTGTGGCTGTGTGTATTGATTTCAAATTGAATTYCTTGCCAACTGTATGTAATGGGGGATGCTTTTGTTCGATTGAATGCCGTGTTGAGTGGATTTGCAATTTTTCCGCAGTTCTTATATTATATTCTAGCAAGACGTTTTGATTTATTGCCATGCCAAAGCTGTGACGGTTTTTGCAAATAGTTGCTGTAATCTGCCTAGTTGAGGTTGAATAGTTTGGCGTTTCATGTTAAAGCGTTTCTGAATGGTCGTTGATTATTGTTGCAAGTTACTCTGGGAAAAGTTGATTTTATGGTTGATTGTAGAGAGTGCTGATTCGTTTGAGGTATTTGGGGAAGCTGGGATGATCAAACAACAATTTTTTTGCCTTAATACTACACTTTAGTGTTCTAAACACCTTATTGAAATGGTAGCATCTTGTTATAAATATTTTTGCCCTGTAGAATTCGTAATTCCCTGTAATGTGGAAGTGTTTGGGTGCGACAGACTTTAAACGCCTTTTTCTTGAAATTGAAAGGTTTTCGAAACCGCCCGAGTTTGGTTTTGCTATTGAAAGCATCTATAGTACTTCAAATGTTGACTATAGCAGTGTAGTAACATTATCTAGTAAAGTACGTAAGATTATTATACCCGGAACAGTGTCAAGTTTGTCACGATGTTGTAAAGACCTAAGTCAATTTAGCCATGACCGTTTTTCTTTCAGCTGAAATATATGTGAAGTATTCCCTTAGTTTTGATTCTCTTCAATCTAAAATTTTGCTCATACCCCTTACCAGACCCTTTTGAAAAACTTGTTTCCGAAGGTTGTGCTTGTAGCTGCCATTTTATAAGGAAATGTGTATATAAAAGCGTTTATACATCAAAATAGACGTTTAGTAAAGCTATAAAGTTAGAATTATATTCCTGTTTTCATGCTTCCTTAATAAATGATCAAATTTAGGCCATTTATTGGGACTCTATGGAGATCATGCCATCAAAGTGTTTATTAAGTGAAAARGCTACTTTGGAAATATCAAACTTTCCTCGTGTGACATTCCAAATATTTCAAACGGCTTAACAAGAATTTGAGTCTTCCACCCTATAAAGGTATTTTTAAGATTCTGTTTTATATACACATAAGTAACTCGTTAAGTCTACTATAGKCGAAAAATTTCAAAAAATTATAAATTTACATACTTGAATTCCAAGTTTTAACAGATGAACCTGTTCYTTATAGATAAATATGAAATACAACACAATTTATGGGTCAATTCTCCTCAAGTTGTCGAAAAAAAAAATTATTAAATTAATTATTTTTTACCAGAAAAGGCCTTTTCGCCAAAATGTCATCACTGAGTTTACGCTGTTTATTTAAAAATAATTTRTATTTTTTATTTTTATTGCAGTTAYCCACATATTCTACAAAATATCGTGCCATTTCGCTTGTTAATCCCAAAGTTTTTGCGCAATTTCACTCATTGAAGTACCTCCCCTTACCAAAACTGATCTCTCGACCGCCCACCTGCTCGATCGCAAGCGTACCGCTCACCTTCAAGTCGACAACTATATACTATAGTATACTATACATATTTAGATACGGATATATGTACATATCAGCAGCGAGATGTGTCGAAACGGATGGCGGCCATACTTAATTTAGCGCACGCCAACGTAAACTTTACACCAGCTAGTAAATTGCCAGCCGGCGTCACCGTGCAACAACAATAACAGCAACAACAAAACTGGTAACAACACCAGTAGCTACTATAAAGAGCAGGGGAAAAAAAAACATAGAAAAGCTACAAAACCAACAAGAAACACAGCTAGACCACAGCCACAGTAGCTAAGGCAAGCGCCAACAACAATAGCAGTAGTAACACAGCGCAACACATTTCAACCAATGGCAGCCGTACTGGCTACTGTGCAACAATAGTAACAACAGCAACAACAATCATGCGCATTGGTTGTATGTGCKTGGCGCAACAACAAAATGCATGGCACTATAAAATATCACTCCACCTACCGAACAGTGATGGGAGTGAGAGCGCTCCAATGGGCGCCACGGCTGTTTACGAAGCATTTAATTGTTGGTAGATATTTATAAACGTGTGTGTGTATGCGTGTATAGCGCGSCGAAAAAACAAAAACAAATGAATAAATATTTTTAATCGCATTTATGAGCAGCGCAAAAAAACACACGGAAAAAATGTTGTGTGCTCATTTTGATGTATGTGTGTATAGTGGGAGAGCCGCAGTGCGGAAAGAGTGATATGAAATCATTTACGGCTGCGTGTGCTAGTAATGCATACATACGCAGAATGACTGCTCATACTTAGATACACGGCGCAGACTTTGAGATATCATTGCATGTGTGTATGTAATGTATGTGTGCACGATAGTGTAAATAAATAATAATATGAAATAAAAATGGGAAATAAGCAAATAAGGTGAGCGATATACAAGTACATATGTATGTCGATATGTATGTCCATACATATGTACATACATATATACATATGTTAAAGGCATGTGCTTATGTTTGTTTGCATGTCGGYGCGTAAGTATGGCAACCCGTTAGCTGCAACTGTAGTGGTCGTAATAACAATAATAAAACTCTGATATCAGCTTGTTTAATAACAATGGCAGTAGCTTTTAATAACAAGCGGTGAAGACAAAAACAACAACAACTATATTATACTCAAAGCCATGCTACTAGTTTCAGGTATCACAGCGACGTGGAGTAGGTGAAAAAAAAATGGAAACGCAACGGCGCAAAGATTCTTATCTACTGCATGTGGATATGATGATAGTTGCTGTGGTATATATGTATSTACAAGAGTTTGTAATATATGTCTGGGCTTGTGTATATTTATAAGCAGGTGAACGAATGAAGAAATTGCATATCTTCAGATACTAAATAGGCTAGTGGAAATATTACTTGCTCACCTAGCAGTTATACGCTAGCAAAGAAGACTGCAAATATCAAGCAGTTTTAAGATTTTTTCATGATTTMTTTTGCGTTAAATGGTGGATTCAATGTTTTATAGTAGATTCTSTACAGATAATATCAGAACCGTTACACCAGTTTATTTAATTTGTCAGCTGAAACAACATGTCGATCTGAAGTTTTACTCACGACCTTTTCTCATCAAGAATCTCCTCATTTGACGGTACCATTAATATTGCATCACTATAGCTTAGTTTGCCATAKAAACTGAACGTTCGRAATAAAGTTCTTGTATGGAAAACTTTTTTATTTAAACAGATATCCAAACGAAATTTCACATGAATTAAAGTCTATACAATATTCGAAGAAATAATTAAGCTCAGACCACTATAACACTTAGCTGCCATAAAAATTTACCGATCAAAATGAAGACCACGTATGGAAAACTATGCTGCCATAAAAACTTAACGATCAAAATGAAGTCCACGTATGGAAAACTTTTTTATTTCACGTTAATGAAATTTTTCACATATTATTATGCATGGCAATCTTTGCAAATATTACTTAGATTAGCATACTATGTAATATAGCTATCGTGCAAACTGACATATCGAAATCAAGCTTTCGTATGGAAAATATTTTTGTTTGTGAAAGGTATTATAGTTGCAACAAAAATTAATGTTTCTTTGCTTACTATTGCAATCTTGCCCGCTTATAGTCCACACCCTTGTAACGTCACCATACATTTCATACAGCAGTCATGCTAGTTTAGATAATTTGTTGCAAGATAAGCGTGTAATTAACAAGTGGTCATATTTGAAGGGTCAGCGTGAATTTTATATAAAAAGTGTTGTTTCTGGCATAACGCAAATATTTTTTTGAATTTAAAAATAGTCACTTTCTGGCAGCAATATATATGTATCCACCAACTTGAAAGCTCATGGCAATAAAAATTAGTTGTATTTTTACAACTTTGCAAAACTAGTGGACAGGCAATTAAGCATAGATTTATAAGCGTTTGCTTAAACTAAATATATAAGATGAGCTATACTATTCACATAATTACGTAATGTATGCATGTGTGTTGTGATGAATGCATTTTCACCTAACCAAAAACCATTTTATTGGCAATTGTACGCCGCAATAATTCTTTAGTTATTTGACTTTCCGCTCAACACTTGGCAGCACAATTCAAACATCCGCTGGCATAATTCATACTTGCCAAGCCTAGGCCAAGAATTACATAAAATAGTACAAATCTTTTTGATTTATAAACGTACAACTATAAATCTTCAATGTTTTGTGTAAACAGAAAAATGGCTGCTAAAATTTCAAATAAACAAGACTATAGAAGAAAATACGTTTTTTTTTTTTCAACTAAAAAAAAACTCAAAAATTTATGCAATTTTACAACCAAAAAATTATTACACAGCACATACCTAACAGCGACGGCATTGATTTGGACAGAAATGATTTATTTTTAAAGAGTAACTTAATAGCACTGTCTTAAAAATTTCTTCCAAAATTGTGTGCAACAATATTAGATTGTTATCTTTTTTATATGTATGTGTGCACGCCTACTCACCGTTAAATGCTGAAACAGCCACGCTCTTAAGATATTTGTTGCTACTTTTGGGAAAATGCCACGTTTCTTTTGGTTCTTTTTACCATTCGCATCGTCATCCTCTTCGCCTGTGCCCTCGCCGCTGCCTATACTGGCATTGCTGGCGTCACCTGGAAAATTAAAAGTGGAAAAATATATATTAATATGCATGAAGCCATAAAAGAATAATAATAATTTTATTTTACTTTTTTGTTTTTATAATTTATACATTTTCACAAAAATTTTGAATTAATTTCATCTCTTTCCGCTGAARTTGTTAATATATTATTTTGCATACAATTTATTATGCGTGAGTTTATTTTTAAGTAATAAAGCTTTCACACTGTGTTTAATAACTTCCGCTCTTATGCTTAAAAAGGCTTACACAAGTGTTGCTTAACTCTTCGGCAAGAATTTGTAGCTTTCACTCCAGTATTCTGTTTTACGCCAGTGAGGCATTTTTTCATTTTTGAGAAAGAAATAAGAATACTGTCATCAATATTACAATAAATATTTTTAGTTAATTTATAATTAAGGCCAGAGCTTTCACTGAATAAATTTGAATGTGGAAGCATTACAAAAACTAAATTGTTTTAAAATTAAGATGAATGTGGAAGCATTACAAAAACTAAATTGTTTTAAAATTAAGATTAGAGCTTTCTCTTACTTATTAAATGTAAATGCCGAGCTTTCACAAATAAATTAAAAATGTGAAAGCGTCTTAAAATGAAACTGTTTTAAAACTAAGGTCAAAGCTTTTACACAAAGGTCAAAGCACATATGTGAAAGCTTTCTAAAAAAATACCTCTACTTCTTATTTTTGCTGAAAAAATATTTATTTCATAATTTTCGTATTTTGAAAAATTTCCCTTYTTTTGTCACTAATTCGCCGTAGATAATGAAAGCCTTTTGGGTATTTTTATGAAGAGAATATCTTAATTCCCCACATACTTTTCTTAATGTTACTGAAATGCATAGTACATTTGATTTGAGATGCTTTCACGAAGCTTACACTATTACAATTTTCGTCTYAAGTCAATCTTGGAATTAACTATAAATAATTTTCAAGCCACTTTGRATATTTGTTCATTAACTTCTTTTGRGTATACATATATGTATCTTAAATCTTCTGCTTTTAATTTCAGAAACTTTCACTCTTACACTTTTCCGCTACTCAATTTTTTAAAAACCAATAAAAAACTTATGCTTATGAAATCAAGAGCTTTCAGGGAGCTCTCACTATTATAGTTTTTTACTTTCAGTAATTTTCTAAAAACTTTCCTTAACAAACTTCAACTTTTTTAAACCAACAAAAATTAATTAAATTAAAATWAATTTTAAAAAATTAATTACATTAAAAAACTTAAATTACTTTACGCCAACTAACTGTAATATCAGTGCATAGCGTTCACTTTCTACACACTACGCGCCGCATCCCGCACCTGCGCTGAACTCAAGCACTCTGTTTGCTTCACTTCATCTGACTGTTTGCTTGTTTGTGGAAAATTAATATTTGTCATTATGCCCAAATGCAACGCATAATAATGTCCATGCATAATTTCGGCATTAAATGAGTGTTTGGTTAATTTTCAGCCAAGTTTATCTAACTATCCGTAAATTGTTGACTCGTTTCGCCAAGGTTTTCGAAGCTGTTGACTCTGACCTGAGGACAACTAGTTATGCGTGTACATTTATTTACTTCAAACACATACACACAAACGTAAATATTTATAAGTATGTATGTAAATGGAGACTTACTATCAACAAACTGAAAGCGAATTACTATCAGTAGCTAACCAYTGACTTTCTGGCGGTAATTTCAACTAAGCATGCAACGCACCTACTTGAGCACATACTGTACTTTAATGTACATAGATATATGTATATTAATATATAATCATTATTTGTGCGCAATGTTATCATGTAATGCGCCTCATTGTTTTGTCTCACTAATGTTTATCATTTCACTGTTTGATATGTAAAATAGTACTTTGCTTGCCACAAACAACTTGAAATTTTCTTCAGCATGATAATGTTGTACACACATCAAGAGCAAACAACCAACACAGCTTCTTGTATTCCAGGGATATATGCATTTTGAGAAATCTTGAGAAATTATGTTATTTATGTGCGCATCTTCGAGAAAGTACARGCAAGTAAGTGGGTATATTGGTTGGTTTTCTACGCAAATCCTGCCACAATTAGTACGGAAGTTACTTAAGCTGTGGTTGTTAGGTAAATTTCCGGTTGAGTTGACTCGCTTCTTGACAACACCATGTCTTAGATAAAGCAGTGATAAGCGTCCAGGTGAATGTCGGTACTTTATACTGCCATATTTACACAACTAACGACAACAATGTAAGTGTATGTTGGCCAGTGTATGCGTGTGTGTAATGCTTACTTAGAATCACTGCATCTGAAAATGAGTAGTTTAATAGCCGGTGAGTTGTGTTGTAATGTGGCAAGTTGCTTGTTGCGCCACACAGATAACAAAAGGACATGTGTAAACAAGAAATTTTGAATGAAATCCAATTTCTAATTTCTGAAGGGTAGATTAGATTAAGGAGCGTATTACTGAAATTTACTTAGTACTGACTTGATGAGAAAAGCAAACTAAGTTTTGATAATTAGAAAAATATGTAATTAAATATCA